AGCGCGCGAGCCGACAAACAGCTGATCAGCTGTTTGTCGGCTCAGCGCGGCAGCCATGTAAATGTAAATGAAGCCGCGATCATTTAAATCACGGCTTCATTTGCCTTTGCTGAACAAACAAATCTACATGCCTCTGCCGACAGAGGCATGTAGTTTAGACGTACCCTAAGGTGCCACAGGACTCCTCGTCGCTTTTGCAGATTCAGACTAACACGGCTACCCCTCTGATACTTGACCTCTCCATTTGAGGCCCCGCCCCTTCCAGAGCCCCCCGCAAAAAATTATTGCCCACCCCAGCATATACAGTGTGTGGCACACTGGTGCACTGTAGGTATATGCCCCAGCGTGCTGCACTTTCACTGTCCTAGACAAGTTCTAAGGGTAAAATTAGCAAAAACACCAAAGTGAGTTAGGATCCCAACTTACATTTTCAAACATAGCTCAGGTGCCTAAGTCTCCATGGAAGTCAACAAAACCTAAGAATCACGGAGTCTTTTTTTTAAATGGGACTTGTGAGCTTTTGAAGTTTACCCTAAGTGACATGCTGATAGAAAGCCTATGCCACAGCAAGGAAATGAATGCTGATCTCTGAAGTCCCAGGCTAGCATCAAAACCACTACATAATCCTTCCACTTGTTACCCAGCAACCCTGGTCTGCAGCACTATCCTGTTGCTATAGGAATAACACTGGTTCCCCAGGGCCACAGAGACATGGAATATCTTTCTTCCATGATTAGTTTCTATACAAAGAACTCTGCAATCTCTAAGATGTAGTAGTTCTTTTTCATATCCCTCGTTGTTGCTGCTGTAAGAGAACAGCTCTTTTCACTGAAAGATCAAGTACTATTGTTCTTTGGTATTCCCTCTGACAGCATGCTTGGCACTGTAGAAAACACAGAGACCCATTGGCACAAGTCTACACCATTATTGTTCACCACTTTTACAAGACTGATACATTTTGTACAAAGTATGCCCTGAGAGGTATTATTAGAAAATACATAATCTACTGAACATTATTATCCTGGTAACATATGTGGATCAACATTGTATGTAAAGTTATGAGATTCCACTGCATAACATTGCTGTATCATGCTCCACAGTTAAAAAGCAGGCCCAAACAAGGTTTTTTTAGGGTCAAAAGACACACTGATGCTATGGTCAGGTATCAGCATAATCAGATGATCTTGATGACGACCTATCACCAAGTCTTACTTAGTTGCAAAGTAGGGAGCCAAGTCCAGCCATGCTTGTGGGACAATAACTGAAGGAGGCTCCAGTGCAGGGGTGAATGCAAGGTGGGTTCCTGCTGCAAATCCCACCCTGAGACTCCTGCCCTCAGAAGGCAGCCTCCAGGGCTTCCTTTTGTCCTCTTCCCTACAGAAGCAGCTCTCTAAAGCTCTCCCCTCAGACTAGCCCACACCTCCCAGGGCCCTGGGACTGCGTTAACAGAGAGGAGTACAAAGGTGAGTGGAATATCCAAGTTCTGGAACCACCCTGCCAAGGAACAAGGGCAGCGCTTTGGGCCGGAGCAGCACTGGGGAGAGACGGGAGGGGGAGGATCTGAGAGGCAACTGGTCTACACAGGGGAGGGGAGCTGTCATAATCAGTAGTGCTGACCACCACCTGGGGATTAAGGGATTAACTATGTCTCCTGTCCCTAGCCAGGTATCTGGTCAGCCAATAGCAATGAAGGTAGGGATTTCAAACTGGGGCAAAGGAATTTTTATCTTTTTCCTCCTTTGTCTGAGTCAGAGCAGTTTTCTTCCAAGTAACAGGGAGATAGGAGGCCTGTCTCTCTCCAAGAAAAGACTTCTTATACTGTGTAAGTAGAGCAAAGTTTAGATAATCCGTCAGGATTTGTTGTTTTTCCTGGTTTGGGAATTTGGAAATAATGTCTGAGCTTGTTAAGTGGGGTTTTTTTTTTTCTCTTTGTAACTAAGTTAGCCCAGAGGGGTTTCCCTGAGAATCTTTATCAATTAATGGCTCTTTCCATCTAGCCACTTTACTATGCTTGCAACTGTAGTTTTGTTTTGATAATAAAAGTTTGTTTCTTTTTCTAACCAACTGGTATTGGTTCATTTTGGCATCCTAGTTTTACCTTAGGGATGAGATTTCCCGAGTGATCCTTTCCCTGATTTTTCATGGAATTACTTGGATGATGGCAGTGGATATTCTCCAAAATCTGGGTATTAGGATTTGGGGGGGGAAGTTTTTGTACCAAAGCTGGTAGAGATAAGGTTTCTGGGTGCTTTTGAGGGCCCCCATGTCACGTTACTGGATTTTAAGGGGAGCAGCCAGATCACTGCTGCACCCTTGGGGGGGTATTTGCCCCCAAAATGTATACAAAGGGGGCCATGTGAGGTGTCACATAAAAGCTTATGTTCTACTGATTCTGTAGATGTTATTCATATATTTGTATAATATCTGTATGTGGAGTTATAAATATTTACTCCGTATTGATGCTGGAAAATTCTCTGCCTGAGGCAGAGCAAAGTGCCAGGAATGTTTGCTCAATGGCTATGCTGATGAGTGAGGCTCCAAGGACAATAGATCTCTAAATGCCAAAGACACACCTGGGAACTGTGGCTGGTTTCTCGGGACCAGAAAAACCCGTTCGGGGTAGGTGAGATTGGGTTCTAAAACCCCTCCTCTGTGTGTGTTAGGCCTGGGGCTGATTGGGGCATAGAAAGGGCTGGTGTGTCTGAGGGGGTTTGTTCGTGAGGCTTCTGGCAGGCCAGGTAGGCAGCTGAAGTACTCTGTGCGACTGGTTTGTGGCCTATTTGGGAAGGGCCTCCAGTCTGGGGCTATAAAGAGCCCTGAGTTTGAGCAATTCACCCTGAGCGGACGCCCTCAACTGTGCCCAGACCCGGCCCGGTCCATCACACCCCACTTCTGCATTTGTAGTGCCAGTGTGGGGAGCAACCTTGACAGGAGCGATGGAGTCCAATTGTCTGGCCAGCCAGGCAACTCTGGCTGCATTCCAAACCAACTGGGGAGGCACAGGGCTGGGAAGGCACCACAGGCTGGGAGGGGGTATAAAACTCAAGATGTGGTCACTGGAAAGCAGGAAGGGCAGAAAGCAGCAGAGTGGAACAGTCAGGAGCCCATCAGCTCAAGTCCCTCTGATCGAAGCAGAAGAAACCCCTTCAATGTGATGTCCACGCAGCCCTGGAAAGCTGCCAAATTCCTCCCAATTGGGGGTTGGCCACTGAGGTCACTGACGTCTTGCACTGACCCCCTAAAAACCCTCTAAATCCGAAGCAACGGACGCCCATCGCCCTTCCTCCCGAGCTCCCACCACTCTCACTCCACAGTTCTGCCCACTGCTGCGCCACGCCAGCTCAGCCCCGACCGCTCCTTTGCAGGCTGCTGCTCCCTCGGGAAAAGAAAAACACCAATGACAAGCGTTTCGCTTCTTTAAATAGTTGTGGGGGAGGGGTGGTTTTCAGGCCGTGCTGAACGGACATCACCCGAGTTTGGTTCCTTGGCAGACTCCCAGGACAAGCGCAGCACAGGAAGCCTTCATGGCCCCACCGGCCACCGCTTACCTGGCAAGACCCTTCCAGTGCTGAGAGCACCAGCCAGGCTCCACGACCCACCTCGTCTCTGCTCTCATTGCCAGCAGACTGGGATAAGAGATGTCTGTGCGGGCACTGACTGTTGTGATGTGAGAGTTGTCCACTGGGGAGCGGACAAAGAGCATCAGAACTGAGGCTGTGTCTACACTGTGGGGTTTTTTTGCGGAAGAGGATATGCAAATGAAATGCTCATTTGCATATCTTCTTCCGATTCTTTTGGCGGAAGAAGTTTTGCCGCTAAAAAGCCAATTTGTCAGAAAAAAAACCCTTTTTCGCAAGATCCCTTATTCCTCAAATATCGAGGTTGCGAAAAAGGGGTTTTTTTCCGACAAATGGCCCCGTCTACACGGGGCTTTTTAGCGGCAAAACCTCTTCCGCCAAAAGAATCAGCAGAAGATATGCAAATGAGCGTGCCATTTGCATATCCTCTTCCGCAAAAAAACCCCACAGTGTAGACACAGCCTCAGTTCTGATGCTCTTTGTCCGCTCCCCAGTGGACAACTCTCACATCACAACAGTCAGTGCCCGCACAGACATCTCTTATCCCAGTCTGCTGGCAATGAGAGCAGAGACGAGGTGGGTCGTGGAGCCTGGCTGGTGCTCTCAGCACTGGAAGGAGTCACCAACCAGCCGTGGGGCGACAGTGACCTTTGGTCCCCATCAACCAGGACTGGATCCGTTCCCTGGGCTTCCAGGCATCTCTTCCCAGCCCCATGATGCTTCTCTCTCTCCCTCTCTCTCAACCTCTCCTGCCCAGCAGAGGGAGCTCGCGTCACGAGAGGAGAAAAGAAAACCAATGCGCGGGGTCGGCCCTGCGGGGTGAGCTGGGGGCGCCTTACCTGAGCTCGACGTGGCTGAGGGACGTCAGGATCAGAAAGTGCAAGTGTTCAGCGCACCGATCAGTGAAAACATTGGCGCTCAGGTTCAGGTGCCGGAGGCTGGAGTTTTTGGAGAGAGCCGAGCAGAGGCTCTCACAGGATTCATCCGACAAACCGGTTCCCTGGAGGCTGCAGCGGAGCATCAGACACAAACCTTAGCGACAGGCTGCAGGGCAGCACTGACAGGGGTTTCCTCCCTGTCTGGCTGTCTATGGCCAGCTGCCGATCTCCCCATCATCCTCCCTTTCCTGGCCCACACTGCTTTGCCTCCCTCTGCCTCTCCCCCTGCGAAGCTCGTCATGTATGACACAGTCAGGCAGGTTTAACCACTCTAAAGCTGGCCCGGGGGGCTGCATCCATATTAGCAGGGACACTTCACCTAATCCACTAGCTTCTAAAACCAGAAGGGACCACTGCGATCATCTGGTTTGACCTCCTGCCCAGCACAGGTCACAGAACTTCCCAGAAATAATTCCTGCTAGTCCTATAGCTGGCCGGTGGTCTGCGTGCTGGGAAACCCCTCCATTTCCACTCCCTGCTGTGCTGACAAGATCAGTACAAGCCTGACCTCTCTTTTCTGGAAAGCAGTTTGCTTCTGGAGCCCAGACGTAATCAGCATCTTGAGATGCCTGGGCCTGGGATTTCCGAGCGGTGCAAATGTAACTGAGCTCTCTCATGGGGCAGCGAGGGGCGGATTGAGACCAGGCTGGCCCTGTGTCCTCTCCTGTCCCTGGAGCAGTTTGCGCCACAGGAGTTCGTGGGGCAGCGAGGGGCGGATTGAGACCTCTCCCGTCCCTGGAGCAGTTTGCGCCACAGGAGATGGGACCAGCCTGTGGTGGGAACCTCACAAGATTCTTTGCAATCTTGTGAATCCTCGTGTCCGTGTCACCCTCTCTGACATAAACTGAAATGAGGCTCATGCCAGGACATGAGTGAAGGGGCAGCCCAGCACAAGTGTCTGAAGGGGAAAAGCAAACAGCCTGGAAAGCCCCTAGAGCAGAGGCATCACTGGCAGGCTGATACTTACACTAATTTTTGAAGCTTGCACTCTGTGGACTCAATCACCCTGGAGAGGTAGGAGAGGCCCCTATTCCCCAGTTTATTCTTCTTAAGGTCAAGACTCAGGAGGGTCCGGTTGTTCTGGAGGACAGACGCCAGGTCTGCACAGCACTCTTCCGTGAACATGTTCTTCCCCAGGCTAGAGAGCAGGCAAGGAGAGAAGGAGCCAAATGAATGCAAGAGAAAAACAGGAAAAGTTAAAGAGGAAAGCGAAAGTGTCAAAGCCAAAAGGAGGATGAGTGAGAAGAAAGAGGAGAACAGACCACAGGGAAATAAGCAGGCAGATCAGAACCGAGGTAGGAAGGGAATAAGTGAGACACACAATGGGAGAAAGGCCCAGAGGACAATCAGCCAGCCAGGAGGGAGGAGACCAATATTCCCTCCAAATGTTTCCACCCATGTGCAGAATAAATGTTATTATGTGCACCAAGACATGTGCCAATGTGCACCACCAGGAGAAACAGGCTGCCGACTGTGGGCACTCTGCTGATCAGTTGGGCAGCATTTGAATTTCTCCTGGGTGGCCACCTAAGTGCTCAGCTTACAGGGAACGCTGGAGGAGAACCATCCAAATGAATGACACACAGATGGCGATAGGATAAAGAGGCTGCTTGCAGAGAGGGCAGGAATCAGGATCCCCAGGGGAGGAATAAGGCAGAAGCAGAAGGTTACATTAGCCTTTAGGGAACTTTAACTCTTGCTCTGCACTTCAGAGCTACTGGAAGCCAAAGAGTTTGCATGTTGGAATCTGATTCCGTCTGCTGGACTCTAGTAGGGGGACCGGCTGCGATGCAACCAAACCCAGTCCCAGGGGTGTGTGATATTGCATGATCACACACATACAGTCAACTCCACTGCCATGGGGGAGGAGGGGCAAGCATGGTGAACTCGGGTCTGAGCTACAAGGAGGAGACATTGGGTTAGTCCCAAACTCACCCTGTCACTCCCTGGCCCTGCAGGGTCTAGCAGCCCTGTGGGGTGGCACACCAGGCACCGGGAGGTGGAGAGGGGTAAAGCACAAACCGCGCTACCAAACTGAGGAGCCCACTCGGCAGGGAGGAGAGCCAGACAGGCCCCTGAGCCAGAGGGAGTCCCGGGAGGATGGGTTGCAGCTAGGGGATGTAATAGTGTAGTTGATTAACTGGTTAATCGATAAGCAAAAGCTTATAGGTTAACGCTATAGACTACATGCATCTCCCTCCCACCACTAAATTTTTAGCAGGTTGGCCAAGAGCCCGGCTCAGTCCTAGCTTGCAATGGGTCCAGGACCTACCCCTGCTGTGGCTGTGTTTAGTGTATTAGGAGATAAGCAGGCAGGCAACGCGGCGCCGTCCTGGCTCATGCCATGTCTGGAAGCTCAGACCTCACCTGGACAGAGGCTGCTGCCACTCTGCAGGGTGAAAGGCTGCCAGTCTGTGAGGGGAGCCGGTTTTTAAACTGGCTCCCCTCGTGGACCAGTTCCAGCCTGGCACCCTGCGCTGCTGCCTCTGATACAGAGGAAGCAACGTTGAGTGGCAGAGGGCTTCTCAGGAGTCGGGCTGGAGTACGCTGGCTGCTGGCCCCGCCCCCAGGAACTATAGAATAGTCAAGTAACCAGTAAGAATTCAGGAGGTTAATCGACTAGTCAATTAACCGATATTTAACATCCCTAGTTGCTGCACGCAGAATGAGCAGCCAAGGCTTCGTTAGAGACCACAAGCAGTCGGGGAGCTAGATTTCACATCACCGTCACATGGCCGCAGCCAGGACACTGGACCAGAGCTCACTCCACGGTTGAAAGAGCCGAGTTCCACATCACCACCACCACTACCCAGCTGCATCCTGCGGCCTCCCCAGACATCTCCCATCCACGTACTGAACAGCCCCGCAACCGCTCAGTGGTACAACAAAACCAAAATGGCCCAGGACCAAACCGCAGAGCCCCCAGGGTACCTCACCCCGCCATGTGCCCTGGCAGCTGGCCCCATGACACTTCAGCACATGAAAAACATTTGAAAACGAGTGACACTGAATTTCTCGTACAACACCGACCACGCAGTTACCTCAGAGCCTCGATCCTACAATTCGGGAGCACCAGGGCCTTGCCGATCTCCTTGATGGCAGGATTCTTCAGATAGTTATCCAGGAGACTGGGGGCAAACGGCAGAAAAAAGTGTTTCAGGCTGGATACAGAGACCAATCAGCAACGGCGGTGGGTTTGGGAGGCTGGACGCACTGTGCAAATTGTGCAATGGTGGGTTTGCGGGTTTGTTCAGTCTGCATTGCCTCATTTACCTCTGTGCCACACCCATCACATCTTTCTGCTCCTCCTCCCTATCCAATCCATGAGTCCTCTCTGTGCCGCGGGGTATGTCTGCACTGCAGAATTTTTTCAGAAAAAAGGGCCGTTTTTCCGAAAAAACTTCACTTACACCCACACTGCAATTGTGTTCTTTCAGAAAAAAAAATTTGAAAGACCAGAGGGGTTTTTCCAACATTGGTAAACCTCTTTCTACAAGGAAGAAGCCTTTTTCTGAAAGAGCTCTTTGGGAAAAAGGCGTGTGTGGATGGGGAAGAGGGAGTTCTTTCGAAAGAAGAGGAAAGAGGAAAAAGCACAGGTGTCCCAGTGGCCACTCCGTCCGTAGTAATCACAGCTTACATGAGAGATAGCGTCCATTCAGTGTGGATGCTCCCTTTCGAAATAGGAGATGGCTTTTTCGATGCGCTTTGGCTGTGTAGACGCTCTCTTTCGGAAGAAGTTTTTTCAGAAGATCTCTTCTGGAAAAGCTTCTTCCAAAAGAAGCCTGCAGTCTAGACATAGCCTCAGAGTCCGACGTACTGGAGCTGACTGTGGTCTCGGAAGCTCAGGCAGCAAAAACACAGACTGTGCAAACGCAGCCCATGCAGCTACGGCCTCACCACTGTTGGCCCTTGTGCTAGATCAATGGGAGCCTGGCAGCCCCGCTGACGGGCCGCTGAAAGTTCTTTTGGCAGCGATGCTGGGCTAAGGCAGGTTAGTCTCCACTTATGCTGTGCCCTGGAAGAAGCCAGTAGGCCTGGCTCCTGAGTGGGGAGCAAAGGGACTCCACACGGCCCCCCAGCTCCCAGCACTGGCTTTGCACTCCCTGGGACCCGCAGCCAAAGGGAGCTGTGGCGCTGGTACCTGTGGACAAGAGTGGTATGTGGCGCTTCCTGGCATCCCTGCCTAGGAGCCGAACCTGCTGCTCGCTGCTGGGGAGCAAGGTGGAGACAGGATAGGTAGGGAGCCTGCCTTAGGCCTGCTGCATCACTGACCAAGAGCCTCCTGAAGTAAACCCCAACCCCAAGCTCCAATCCCCAATCCCAACTCCCCCCAAACCCAGAGCCCCACCCTGCACCCCAAACACCTCATCCTCAGGCCCCACCCCAGAACGCTCACCCCAGAGCCCCCTCCCACACCCCAGCCCCTGCCTCAACCCACAGCCCCCTCCTACATTCTGAATCCCGCAGCCCACCCACCCCCAGAGCTATCACTAGAGGGTGCAGGGCCCAGGACAACTCCCCCTCTGCCTCAGACCTTAGCCTCACCCCTCCTCTTCCTGCCCCTCCTCTGCCTCTCGCCCCTTCCCCCAAACCCATGCCCCTGTTCCACCTCTTCCTACCCCTGCCCCATTCTTCCCCTTCCCCAAATGCCCCGACCCCTTCTCTCCCGAGTGACACCAGGAGCTGGTGAGATGGAGTAGAGTGAAGCGGGGCCGGTTGTGCTGCTCCCCACATGGCTTCCCATCCCCCTGAAGCACAGGGTCCCCCCAAAGCATAGGGCCTGGGGCAACTGCCTGAAACCATCCAATGGATGGGACTGTTCTGCTCACACCTCAAGCCCCTGTCCCAGCCCAGGGCAAGTGGGTGAGGGCAGGGGAGAGTGAGACACGGATGGAGGGGGATGTAATGAGCAGAGGTGGGGCCTCCGGGAAAGGATGGGCAGGGGTGTGGCACAGGGGAAAGGGTGGGACTAGGAGGTTTGGTTTTGCGGGAATAAAAAGTTGGTGACCCTCAGAGGGCCCCGAAACCTGCTCTGACTCCCTTCCTGCCTAGCACCTCCTCAAACCCCCCTCCCTTGGTTCCCCTCCCGGCTACCTTTGCCTACAGCATGGTCCTCACAGGCTCACGGCAACATCCGGAGCGATGCCCTGCCACACACGGCACGGTGTCGCTCCACAGCTGTAAGCAAGCAGGAGGCAGAGCTCTGGGCAGGGTCTCTTTGGTGACAGTCCTCCCAGGGTGGGGTCTACCCATAGGAATACAGCCTCAGGAGCCTGCCCCCTCCCATAGGGCATGGCTGCTCACAGGACCAGGGCTCCTGGGAGCCTCTGGGCCAGTTTGTGTGAGGCTGGATCGAGGGCTGCACCCCTGGGCTGAGTTCTCTGTTCACTCCCGGGGACCAGCTTGATACAGACTGGCTCAGGACTCCGGGGTTCTGCTGGGACTTGCCAAGGGGCTTAAGCCTTCACAAGACCATCTCCGGCCCAGAGAGCCTGAGACAGCCACGAGAGAATGAAACCAGGTCCAACCAAACGGCATTATGCATTTCCCCATCTCCTTCCACTTGAGGATCCTAAAATGCCCAATGGACACTGATCAGTGAAATTCCCTAGCGACCAGCCCTCCCACTACCTCCTGCCTCAATGTTGCTATTTTGAGAAGGGGAAACTGAGGCTCAGAAAGTAGGAAATGACTTGAAAAGAGTCACATTGAGTCATTGGCAGAGCCAGCCAAAGCCTTGAGCTTTTACCACAAACCCATCCTCCCTTGCAGAGGGAAAGCTGGACCTGAACCTTTGCTTGCACCGCAGTTAGTGCGAGGCGACTTTTCATCCTGCCACCTCCCAAAGTCTCAGACCTGAACCTGCCTTTCTTGTCCGAGGGCAGGGCACAAGCAGAACTGGGGCCCACGAAATGTTCCCTCTGATTTTTTTTCCGTCCATGTGTGGAATAAATTTTGTTATGGGCACCAAAGCATCTGCATATGTGTACCACCAAGAGAAACTCATGCTGCCTGCTGTGGGTGCTCTGCTGATCAGCTGGGCTGCATTGGAATCTCTATGGGGAGGCCACCCAATTGAGGGCAGGGCACAAGCAGAACTGGGGCCCACGAAATGTTCCCTCTGATTTTTTTTCCGTCCATGTGTGGAATAAATTTTGTTATGGGCACCAAAGCATCTGCATATGTGTACCACCAAGAGAAACTCATGCTGCCTGCTGTGGGTGCTCTGCTGATCAGCTGGGCTGCATTGGAATCTCTATGGGGAGGCCACCCAATTACTTAGCTTATGGGGAACACTGGTCCCATGGACAAAGACAAGCACTGAAATGCAGCTTGCTCTGCTAGAGTGCGGCTACACTTCAGCGAGGGAGGGAAATTGCTCTGTCTCAGGATACTGGGGCAAACCCCTGTTCTTCACCACCATGTTTAGGGGCCACTGACATGACCAGTCCCTGATTTCTTTAAACTTTACACACAACCTCTTTTCTCACCTCAGTTCTCGGACTTTGTGCAGCTCCGGGCTGAGTCTCTCCAGGCCCTCGTTCTGGATGAAGCAGGACTCTAGGACGAGGCGCCCTATTTCTTCACAGCATTTCAGCACGTAAGCGAGGACGGTGCAATCCACCGGCATGAGGTACAAGTCTGAGAAGTCCAGCTGGGGGTCTTTGCCCACCACGTCACGCACCAGTTGGCTGTTCCGGGATTCAAACAGCAAATTGAAAACATTCATCAGCCTCCTCTTCCCTTTGGGCTCCTCTCTGCTCTCCAGCTCCTCATAGTTCATTTCGCTGAGCCACCCAATAACTTGGCGAGTGGCCTCTGCAGAGAACTTCCCCGTGTATTTCTCCAGGGGCATCCGGGTGGCAGGATGGGAGAGCCCAGCCAGGAAGCGAGAGAAGATCTCATAGTCACCTTCTTTACAGGTCCTGGCTTTAGCCATTGTGTCTCTGAACCTGTCCTCCTTGTAATCCAGGTAATGCACAAGGGCAGCAAAGAACTCCTGGATGGTGAGGTGAAGGAAGGAATAGGTCACCTGGGAAGAGTTATCAGTTGGAGGGTTCTCCACCAAGAAGCCGGTGAGGAATGGAGAAAACTCCACTTTGAAATCCCGTAAATACTTCAGATCAAAGACAAGAATGTGGTTTTTGATGCCATATTCGGCCAGCCAGCCCAGGCGTGTCAGTGTATCTCGCATGCTCCGGGTCTCAGGCCGCTCCTGGGTGTGATTGGCCATAATATGGGTGACGTAGCTCACAAAGAGCTGGGTCACTGTTTTGGGGACAGGCTGTGGTTTCCCTGCCTGGGCGGTGAAGCAGGGCTTCAGGGCCGTGCATGTGATCCAGCAGTAAGAGGGGTTGTAGCACAGCGTGTACAGAACCTGACTGTCCCGCACGTATGCAAAGGCCTCTCTGGAGACGCGCTCATCTCGGAAGAACGTGGAAAAGTACCTTTCCCTTTCCTTAGCGAGGAAGCCCACGATATTGGCCACTCGGTGGAAGACACCAGCCTCCAGACCGGCCAGCTTGCTGGGGCGACTGGTCAGCAGCACAGAACAGCCCTTCAGCAGTGTCTGTTTCACCAGGCTGGCAACAATCACAGAAATGGGCTTCACATCCCCAGGTTTCAGACACAGCTTTTGGGCTTCTTCTTTCCTCAGTGGCAAATCAGTCCGGCTCTCATCCAAGCCATCAAAGATGAAAAGCAGCATCATGGGCTTCTCCTCTCCTCAGTGGCAAATCAGTCTGGCTCTCATCCAAGCCATCAAAGATGAAAAGCAGCTTCTCAGGGTCTTCCAGGACTGTTGGGAGCTTGTCCCTGAGGAGCGGATATGTCTGACAGATCAGAGACTCCAGACTCCTCTTCTCACCAACAGTGTTCAGGTCCCGGAACTTGAAGATGAAAACGAAGGCAAATTTCTGGTAGTGCTCCCCCACTGCCCAGTCAAAGATGAATTTCTGCACCAGAGTCGTCTTGCCCACGCCGGCTACTCCGCTCACCATCACAGACAGGGGGACCCGGCGGGAGCGAGTGCACCAGCGGAAGAGCCGGTCAGGGGTGATACGTTCCAGCTCTCTCTTCACTCTCCTCTGGAGGCGATATTCATTCAGCTCCCCCGCCGCGGCCAGGGCCTCATGCTCCTGGTGAGTCTGCTTCATGAAATGACGGTCTGAGACCACCTTCAGCTCCACATAGCGGCTAGCAATGGGGAAAATCTCCCCCTCAGATTGCCCTGGGGTCTTGTTTTCCTTCATCAACCCTGTGAGATCGCGGAGTTTGGCCTTGTGCATTTCCTGGCAAGCTGGAATGCAGAAACGGGATGCATTATCTCTTATCCCATTTCTGTCTTTCTGTCCCATTCCTGACCTGCCCTGCAACTGTTCATCACCATATGCATTTGGGGAGAGAAGCACAGGCCAGAAAAGAGAGACTTCTCTTCTCCTTTATAATCTACAAGCAGACCTGGACAGACAAGCCCCTGCTCTGATCTCACAGCTCTGTCCTCACTGTGCTCTTCCCTTCGCCGAGGCAGATATTGAATATTTTCTGGTTAACGCAAACTTGCACTCGTGTAACCCAGAGTACGTCTACACTAGCCCCCTAGTACGATCTAGGGAGGCTAATGAGGGTGACCGAAATTGCTAATGAAGCACAGGATTTAAATATTTCACGCTTCATTAGCATGTTCCCGGGAGGTCTCCATTTTAGAAATTGACTAGCCCGAAGTAACTGCCCGCGTCTACATGCGGCAGTGAAATGGGATTCCGAATTAAAGGCCTAAATCGAATTAGCTGTTATTCCTCCTGGAATGAGGTTTACCAGCTAATTCGATTTAGGGCTTTAATTCGGAATCCCATTTCTCTGCAGCATGTAGACGCGGGCAGTTACTTCGGGCTAGTCAATTTCTAAAATGGCGACCGCCTGGGAACATGCAAATGAAGCGTGGGATATTTAAATCCCGTGCTTCATTAGCAATTTCGGTCACCCTCATTAGCCTCCCTAGATCGAACTAGGGGGCTAGTGTAGACATACCCCCACACACCTAGTGTGGCTCACTGTCCCATGCAGTGGTACCTAGACCACAGCAACAGATAAGATCAAGAGCCCTCTGCAACCTAGGCTGAGAACCAGCTGGCTTTATAACTCAAGCTGTAGAGCAGGGGTGGGCAACCCAGAGCTCTCGAGCCGCATGCGGCTCTTTGCTTAAAGAACTGCGGCTCTTGGTAGTTCTGAACCGTGCACCTGGACTGCTCACGGCCGGCCGCTCTGCGCACATGCCCCAGTGCCTGGAGGGAGAAGCGTGTGGTGGCAACGGCGGCTCTGGGACCCAGGCATTGGGTTAGAGCTGGGGGTGCCTGGCTCTGTGGGAGAGGAGGGGACTGGGGGTGCTGGGCTCTAGGGAAGGGGAGGGGGACTTGATTAGAGTGGGGTAGGATGGGGGTGCCTGGCTCTGGGGGAGAAGGGGGAATTGGGTTAGAGCAGAGAGGCTGGGAGTGCCTGGCTCTGGGGGAAAGGGAAGGCATTGGGTTACAGAGAGGGACTGAAGCACCTTTGCCGGGGTGTCTCCTCAGACCACTGGAGAGCTGTCCCAACCCCAGTTCAGATCAGTGCCCAGACAGCATGACTGAGCCCATTATTGGCATGAACATGGAGGAAGTGTTGCTACAGTTACATACAGTTTAATTCCGTCACGGTACCTTTCAGTTCAGCTTCAAGCGTGTGTCCGTGTTCATTCAGGAGATTTTCCTTTAACAGATTTTGACCTAGAAGAGACAGAGCATGCAGGTTGGGCTGTTATGCGACATGGGTTATTGAGACATACACGGCCCTCATATCATCACATTGCACTAATCTGGGATTGTAGTTTTACCTCAGTCATGCAAGGCTGAGTGTCCCTTTGTGTGCTACAACTGAATCTTGTTTCCTCTGCAATGAGAGAGACCTCAGGGATCCTGGGTGCAGCTCCACATTGTGGGTAAAACCAGCTCCCACCCTGGTGCAGACCTGAAGCCGTGTGTCTGAGATCTGGACACGGCAGTGTTCCCTGTAAGCTGAGCGCTTGGGAGGCTGACCAGGAACGATTTCAATGCCACCCAGCTGATCAGCAGAGCACCCACAGATGGCAGCAGAGCTTTCTATTGGTGGTGCACAGCTGTGTGTGTGTCGGTGCAAAAAACAAAATTCATTCTGCATGTGGATGGAAAAAAATTAGAGGGAACATTGGGACACAGCCTTCTATTTACAGACCATTTGTTTGCTGTTCTCCTGCACTGTAGGAGCTGCTCTCCACCCAGCAATCTCTCTAAGGCTCCTTATCCATCCAAACGTGGTTCCATCGTCTGTACAGATTCTTTCTTTTCCCTGCTTGTGTCCAGTTCTCTGGCTCACACTCACTTTCCCCAGCTCTCTGGTCACCTGTCCATATGATTCCCTTAGACCACCCTGCCTGTATTGTTGGATACGTTACCATTCTGAATGATTTCATCCAGCATCCCATGGAGGTTGGGGTGAGCCCACCGACTCTGCAGAGCAAACAGACCCGTCCACAGCTCCAGTCCTGCAGCGTAGCTCTTGGCCAAAATGTCACCCACTAGCCCCTCTGCAGCTCTGGTTGAGTCGTGGTTCTTCTCCCAGTCACTGTAGCCCTACACCCCAGAGGGACACAAGAGGTGGGGGAGTCAGAAGCCGTCTGCCATGGCTGCTAGAATGGAATCAGAAGGGTGGGGGACATAACACCCTATGGCCAAGGGCCACTGCTTAAAAGGGACCGACACAGCAGCTGGCCCCGGGGTAGAAAAGCAGCAAGAGGGTCTGCCGGGGCAGAGTGGGGAAGTAAAGGTGCCAGCATTTTGTTGTAGCAGAGTTTGTGTGTGACTTCCCATTGCATTAGTCCCCACATCAGTGCAGGATGGGGGCTGTGCTGCATTGTTCGGGGCAGGTATCGTTCATACAAAGCCTTCTCCTTGCCAACCCGAAGTGTCATTAGGGGTTAACTCTGTTCCCTGCATGCCTGGAAGTAGAGACGCATGATGAGTGGATGCCAAGGGGCCTAAAATGGAGGGACAGGCTGAGAGCCCTCTGGCCTCCTGTGACGGGGTGGACTAGGCCTGACACACTCTGCTGGAGGCCTTGTCTCACGCTGCCCCAGGGAGAAGAGCAGAAAATAGGTCCTCCAAGCAGTCTAGAGGGGCTGCTTCTCTGGCAGCCAATCAGGGCCCAGCAGGCTGATATAAAAGAAGCTGCTGGGCCAGGGCCTGGCAGTTCCTCACTTGAGCGTGATCCAGTCAGACCTGGGGATTGACTGGGAGGACAGTGTTGAGTGTGAACTGAACTCCAGACCCAGCGGCTAATAAGACTATAGCAATTACAGAACCCTGGATGGGGGAAAGTGAGAACTTGAACTCACAGCCCTGAAAGTGAGGGCTGGATAGAACAGTTTCTTGGGGAAGTGGCCCAGGGAGAAAGGTAGCAGCAGACAGCAGCAATAGTGAGCAGGCAACTGCTACTTATAGGGTCCCTGGGCTAGGACCACCCCCACACACAACCCCCAGAAACACATCCGGGACACCTACACTCCCAAAGACAGTTTGGGTGGAGAAAGTTGCGCACATGCCCTCAGTCACTAAGGGGTGCCTGTCAGAGGGTCAGCGTGCAAAATCTTGCACCTGCTCACTCCTGGGGATGCCTGAAAGCTGCAAAGTGGCTGAAGAACATGGTTTCCCACCAGACGCTAGCTGGGGGCCAGTCCAGAGCAAGAGATCTTACACTTAACCAAGAATTACGAGTGCATGAACTAGGGGGCAGATCTCTGCAACTTGGCTTGGGTGCTCATCTACACTGTATTTCCCTTTGCTAGGTTTCTGGTATCTGCTGTTACACTTCCCTGGGCCTTCTGGCCAGCCCTGGCCCTCCTGCGTCTCCAACAAGGAACCCAACTGCACACACCAACTCCATGGGTCCCTCGAAGGTCCCAGAACGCCTGGTCAAGGAGCAGAGCCCTACCTGGGCCTGCTGAGCAGTGAGGACGCGCCTGGCGGTGAGTTCCTGCAGCACAGTGAGGATGTCGTTCTCGATGACGTACACCAAGTCGGGGCGGAAGTGCTCACTCAGCCTCATCAGCTCCCCAGGGGTAAAATTACCCAGGTGCTCTCTGAAGGCGTGAATGTCACCTGTAGAGAAGAGCAGCTCTTAGGCACCACAGCACATGGGGGGGAGGGGGTCCATAGCCAGCCATGGATAACTAGCACCCAACCTCACAGCTACTCCAGATACATAGGAGCACTGCCTGGGAGGGAGTGCGCCACAACTGCGTTCCCAGCCTCTCCCTGCAGGAGGCGCTGCAGGGACTGGTGAGGTTACAGTTTCACCGCTATTCTAGTCCCGGCCTCTCCCAGGAGACGCTATTTGGGATGGGGCAGCGCTGCCTTGCTCATGAGAAGAGGAGCCCGTTGCTCTCACGCACCGTCGCTCACTGCACGCCGCTGGTTGGAAGCCATTTTAGTCACCCTGGGCTCTTGCGTCGCCAAGAAGTCTAGGGAGAGGGAAATATACATCAGAGACAGGCAACATCACTTCCGTCTCCAGGTTTATTGTTCTGCTTGATGGAGGAGCAGCCCTAGCCACAGTTGGGTAATTTTGCCCTTAAATCTGGAGTCTGATCTCTACGTTCTGTATGAAAATGTGTCCCCACCTCCGATTTTCAGTCCACAGTCGCAAAATAAAGCTTGAATTTTCTGACGACTTGCAAGTACATCTGTTAATTAGTTCGTGAGTTCTATTCACTCTTAAAATGGCCTCTTAAAAGGCTTGTCAATAAGGCCTGGGTTTTTTTCACATTAGGGCCCCTTTACATTGTCTTGGCTGTGTGCCAGCGCCATACTGAGTCTGACTAGATGTCCATCTAGCCCAGTATCCTGTCTTCCAAGAGTGGCCAATGCCAGGTGCCCCAGAGGGAATGAACAGAACAGGGAACCTTCAAGTGATCTCTCTTCTGTCATCCATTTCCAGCCTCTTGCAAACAGAGGCTAGGGACACCATTCCTACCCATCCTGGTTAATAAGTATTGATTAACCTAACCTCCATGAATCTATCTAGCTCTTTTTTGATACCCATTAAAGTTCTTGTCTTCACAACATCCTCTGGCAAGGAGTTCCACGGGTTGACTGTGCACTGCATGAAGAAAAACTTCCTTTGGTTTGTTTTAAACCTGCTACCTATTAATTTCATTTGGTGGCCCCTAGTTCTTATTTTATGGGACCAAGTAAATAACTTTTCCTTATTCATTGTCTCCATACCTGTCATGATTTTATAGACCTCTATCATCTCCCCCTTAGTCTCCTCTTTTCTAAGCAACATGGGGCATTCATTATGTTTACTGCCGAGGGATGTAAAAAGGCAGTAGAGTTATTGCAGAATAAGGGTGTCCACATGGGAGTTATACCAGTATAACTACAGTGGTAAAACGATGCAAGTACATTTCCCCATGTAGACAACTTCTCAGACCTTTGAGGATCATGGCCCTTAGCTACAGACTGTAGAAAATCAGCAGCGTTGGACAGCGTGCCCTCGCTCCCAAATGGAAGTGAATGTTTCTAGCCCGTTACCATTTGTGTTACATTGCAGAGGAAGGATTTAGAGCAGGGGGAATGGACCTTTTTTGGGGTCAGGGGCCACTGACCCACAGAAAAATCAGTCGGGGGGCTGCACACAAGTCAGAAGCAAAAAAATAAAACATAACCTCACTGACGTGGCCCCGGACTGAGAAGGAGAAAGACACCCCCCCCCATTCCCCTCACACACCACCGCGTAGGGGAGCCCAGGTTCGTAGATTTTGTGTGCTCCAGCCCCGTGGGTGGGGAAGGGCTGAAGCGCCAGCATGGACTCCCCAATGCTGGGGGGGAGCCCTGAGCCTCAAGGTCAGATCCAGGCAAGCCAGGGGCTGCATCCTGCCCGCAGACCTGAGGTTCCCTACCCTTGACTTAGAGCAGTGGTTCTCAACTCGTTTCAGTCCATGGACCAATCAAAAGAATTTCCTGGACCACCTCCTTTTTGAGACATGATAAAAAAGAGCAGACAGCGAACATTTTGGTTTGAAATTGATTTCTTAGTAACAGATTTTTAGATTCTCTTCTCACTGACAAGCTTTTCAATGTTTGGAGTGGTACTTGATAATGCACAATGAATATCGCTTTTCACTGCAAGCCGATTCCTCTGTTTGGACTGAACGTGCAACAAACATGAAAATCCAGTCTCACACATATAAGTTGATGCCAATGGCAAAAGAAATCTGACTGCGTGTGCTGACAGATTTGGGTAACTCCCGGTCACGCTGGCCCAAAATTTCTCTATGGTAGTCACACCATGTGACTTTGGACAATGTTCCTGTGGACCACCGAAAAAGTCACCATGGATCACGAGTTGAGAACCACAGACTTAGAGGGAGCAGCAGCCATTTTTACAAGAATAAAATACTTGTGCAATACCTCTTAGTGAAGGTGGCACTCCTGTCCCAGTTGTGCACTTTCACACAGACCGTTGCTGTGTCGGAGACCTTTTCTTACTCCAGCAACCTGGGAATTGAACACCAAAAAACTTGGCCAGTTCTGTTTAATGTACACATAGGCTACGTCTACACTGGCATCCCTTCCGGAAAAGGGATGCTAAAGTAGCATGTTGGAATAGGCAAATCCGCGGGGGATTTAAATATCCCCCGCAGTATTTGCATTAACATGGCTGGGGGCGCGGAGAAAAGCGCCAGTCTAGACGTTATTCTCCGGAAAATAAAGCCTTTTCCGGAGGATTTCTTATTCCTATTCAACCTGACATCAGTCCCACCAAGATAATGGAGCAGCTGAGATGGGACTCAATCAATAAAGAATTAAAGACTAACGTAATTAATGCAAGTCAATGTGTATTTATGGAAAGTGGATCCTGTCAGATTAACCCAACATCTTTTTTGATGACATTACCACTTTGATTGACAAAGATAAGAATATTATTAGATTTCTGTGAAGTGTTTGACTTGATATCACACCGCATTTTGATTAAAATCCAGAACAATATAAGATTGACACGACACACAGTAAATGGATTCTAACTAGCTAACTGATAGGTCCCAAAAGGTGACAGTAAACAGAGGATCGTCCTCAAGCAAGCGTTTCCAATAGGTTCCAGTAGGGATCAGTTCTTGCCACTAAACTATTTAAAATTTTTATCAGTGACCTGGAAGAAACATAAAATCATCACAGATAAAATTTGTAGGTGACAAAAATTAGAGGAGTGGTCAAATAATGAAGTTTCTGACTCAAAGTGATCTGGATTTCTCAGTATTTTGGGCACAAGCTAACAACAGGTGCTTGAATATTGTGAAATCTAAATGTATATACCTCCTGGAACAAAGAATGAGAGATTCTATCCTGGGAAGCAGAGATTCCAAAAAAGATCTGAGAGTCACGGTGGATAATATGCTGAACACAAGCTCCCAAGGTGATGCTGTGGCCAGAGAGCTAATGTGATCCTCAGATGCATACGTAACCCTTCTGCCTCACAGAGGGTATGTCTAGACTGCAGGGTTTTTACAGGATACCATAACATATCCCGGAAAAACTCCACCACATCCAGGGAACGCATTTGCTCTTACGCTTTTTTTTTTTTTGCAGAAGAGCAAACACGCTCTTTCAGGGAGCCCTGTAGACCTCGTTCTATGAGGAATAAGGGCTCATCCAAAAGAGAAGGCTTTTCCACCATTTGGCCCTGTGTAGATGGGGGCCCCGTCTAGATGGGGCCAAATGGCGGAAAAGCCTCTTCCAGAAAAGCAATTGGAAAAAGCTACGCAAATTTGTGGAGCGCAATTTGCGTCCGTTTTTCCAAAAAAGGCTATAGTGTAGACCTAGCCAGAGCTGGCAGCAACAAGGTCCAGGTTTGGTATCTAAAGGGTCCTGACCCAAAAGGGAGTTGTGGGGCCAGTGTGGAGGGGTCATTCTAGGAAGTTCACAGCACTGCCTACCTTACTGCTCTGCTGCCTTCAGAGCTGGGCAGCCAAACAACAGCAGCTGTTAGCTGGGTGCCCAGCACCAAAGGAAATGCCCGGCCAACACCAGCACAGAAATAAGGATGACAATACTGTACCATGACACCCTTATTTCTGTGCTGCTGCCTTCAGAGCTGGGCAGCCAGACAGTGGCAGCTGCTGACTGAGAGCCCAACTCACAGGCTGCAGAACAGAAATGCCATGCCATCCTTCCTTCTGTGCTGATGCCATGGCAGCCCTGCCTTCAGAGCTGGGCTCCCAGCCAGCAGCCACCTCTGTCCTGCTGCCCAGCTCTGAAGATAGTGCACGGCCAGCAACGCCCCCCTCCCCCCACAACTATTTCATTGGCCAGGACCCCTACAATTACAACACCGTGAACATTCAGATATAAAGAGCTGAAATCATGACATTTACAATTTTAAAAATCCCAAACGGACTGTGAATTTGGTAGAGCCCTTCAATAAACATCACCTGGCCTGCATTTCTGTTTTCTTCTGTGTGACAAGATTCAGGTGAGGGGGCAGGAGCGGTGGGTATGCTAGGCAAGGGAAGGCATTGCCTTCCCAAACCACCAGCCTGGCCCCATCCATTCTCCATCCCCAGAACGCCTGCTATAGGTGTACTGAGGCCAGAGTATTGCTCCCCCCAAACGCCTGCCCTCCCTGCTCTGAGGCTGGGGACATGCACCACCTGCCCTCCCTGTGCTGGGGTAGGTGGCGTGGCTCCAGTGGGGGCAGGGCCCGGGTAAAAGGGGCAGGGCTGGGGACCTCCCTTCACCCACTGCTCATGGAAGGGGGTGAAGGAAAAGCCCTCTAACAGTAGCCGTGGCCTAGCTTGAGGGAAGGAGGCTGCACTGGGTTGCCAACCGCCAGTAAATTCACTGACGGTCTGTAAAAAAGAGCTGCAGTTGGACCAGTCCGTAAAAACACGTAGAGGGCAGTAAGAAAACACTGAGCTTTGCAGTGGCTGAGGGGTCCCTCCCCCTGGCTCCGGGGTGAGCTCCGCACTGCAGGGCAGCTCCAGGAAGGCTACACTTCCCAGGCAGGGCAGGGCGGGGCAGAGAGGGGAATTCTGCTGGCAGGGCTCCCTCTGCCCTGCTGCTGGCTAATGGGGGCTGCTCCTCTCCACCTCGAGCTTTGAACTCTTCTTCAGGGTCATGAGCATCCGCAAAGCAGCAACTTTTGGCGGGCGAGCAGGCGGGCGTGCAGCATACACCCCGCCAGGCTCCCCCCGGCTGGGGGATGAATACAGTGAGTTGGGGGTAACAGCCCCTGCAGGCTTCTTGCTGTTACGTCACAGCAGGGCAGTCAGTGGGGGCAGCCCCACTCCCAGCTGGGCGTGTGACTCCTGGATGTCTCCTCCCAGGGGAGGAGGAATGGTTGGGGCCAGGTGGGCTATACTAGGAATAGGGTTGTGTCCAGGAATTGTAGCCTTCCTGGAGCTGCCCTGCAGTGCAGAGTTCCTCCCGGAGCCAAGGGGAAGGACCCCTCAGCCCCTGGCCAACGTGCTGAGAGTCCAGCTGCCTGTCTGGTGGGCTCCCCTCTTCTCCAGCCGCCTGCCTGTAGCTTGGCGTGGTTTGCCCCCTGGGCTGGATTTCACAAGAGCTGTCACAATCAGCTCAGCTGAGAGACAGGAGTGTTGAGAGGCACAAATAAACACACTGGATATTGTGCACTTTTGTCATTATCTTACGTGAGAAAGCGGCCCTGCAAAAGTTTGCTTGTCTGGAATTGTTTTCTGTTCTGTCCATAAAAATGGTTTTCAGCAGTTGTCCTCCCCAGTAGCAGCCACCTGATGGGCCAGCGAGCTCCAGATAGAAACACCGCTGCCCGCAAGGGCAGGGTCTGTGTGTGTGGACTGGACTCCAGTTAAGGGCAGTACTCGGGCGACAGCTCAAGTTCACGCCGCTCTACGGCTGAGCCCCAAGCCCAAGTGCAGAGTCGGGATATTTAGTTGTGTGCAGCGTGGAGAAGGGGCACAGGAACAGGCTCAACAGGCATCAGCCTCGGGCCAGGATGGCTCAGACCAGCAAAAACAGCTGACCCCTCATAGGGATCACTGGGCCAACTGTGCAGAAACAGCAGCCTCCGTGTTACAAGGCCAAAGTCAACCCTGGCACAGGCAGGTGACTTCAGCAGGCTCCGGTTGTTTCAGCCTAGGCTGCATGTAAGTCTGGGGGCCTGCAGAGGGTCTGGCTCCAGGGGCTAAACCAGGCATGTTCTGGGGAACGAGGCTCCCTGGCTGAGCTCGGACCAAGATCTGACCTCTCCACGTGAAATGGAAAAGCCCAAAGACCCTGCCCCGCAGAGCCCCCACTGCAGAGAGTCACAAGCTGCATCTTAAGCCGTGTCCACTCTGTCACTTTCACTTTCACTCTGCCTCCAACCCAGAAAGCTGCAGTTCAGAGAGATTCTCCGCCCTCTTCTGATCCTAGCTCTCCCCTTTGGACAGACGGGGGGGGGGAAGACCTCCAGAAATCCTGTCACGTACCTCGCAGGCTCCAGGGAGGCTGCACCATCTGCACCAGATGCCCCGAGGGCCCCCTGCACCTCGAGGCTGCTGGAGGAGGAAGGAAGGCCAGGCCTCGGAAGAGGGAACCCCGCCTCTGTGCGCGCGCACACACACACACACTGGGCGGGTTTTTGAGTCGTGTGTAGTCAGACAAGCTCCCGAAGTGGGAAGGGCTCAGTCACATCTGCAGGGTGAAAGGACAGAGCCCCTAGGACTGGAAAGATCCCATTGTGAGAGACCTGCACAGACACAAAATTTGTACCCACAAAAATGAGCTGGGGGGTATCCACATCCATGGACGCAGAGACCCGTGGTAAATTTGTGGATAGCTGTGGATTTGCAGGGCTCTACCCATTGTGACCAGGATAGGACAGTGACACTGCTTGAGCGCCACAGCTGGCCATCTCACTGCAGAACAGGCACTGCAGTGGCACCAAGAGGCCATGCTGCCCTGAGCCAGGTCACCCTCTTTGATCCTTTAACCCTGCAGCCAAAGGGAGCCAACTGCTGCCAGTCGCAGAGTGGTGGTGGGGGGGCACACTAGGACCTGGCCTGAGAAGCACAAACTCGTGGCACTCCGGACGTGTTGAGCAAGCATCCCTAAGAGAAGGAGAACAGGTGGCAGAGGCTGCATTTCTCCAGCAGCAAGGAGAGGAGCTGGAGGCTGACAACGGATTCCTCAGTGCATCGTGGTCACTTTCTGAGGGCGTGGATAAATGGCAATGAAAATCTGCAGAGCGGGGACTTCGTCAGCCAGCACAATTAACATAGCGCTGCAGCCCTTCCTCCCACAGGAGTTCTGCATGCAGACGCAGGAAGGTGGGGCTCAGGGTACCCCAGAGCGGCTCTAGCAGCCAAGTCACGAGCTAGGAAAGTGGATGGTGTGGCTCAGATCTGTGCTATAGGGCTCAGCACATACTCAAGAGTTCATTCATCCCTGCTGCCCAGATCCTGTGTGGGCATCTTACATGTGATCCGCAGAAGCATTCAGATACCAATTTACAAAGGTATTTAGACACCTAATTCCCACTGATTTCTATGAGAGTTAGGAGCCTAAATACCATCGTAGACCCAGGCCTCCGGGTGGACCTAACTGTTCCCATGGAAATTGTAAAAGCTGCCATTGACTCCAAGTGGAACAGAGTCGAGCCAATGCTGAGCACTTTGGAAATCCCGTCCTTTTGCGTATTCTTCTTGCATGTCCCTGGATATCACAAGGGATTCAGGGACAGGGGGCCAGCTCCTGGAAGCAGGTTGGCGAGAGCAAAGGTTCCGTGCCTCCAGCATTTGTAGGATTTCCTAGAAATCTCTGTTTGGGGTTTATTTATTGAACTAAGGAAATCTAAAAGAGATTTTCTGCCCAGCTACGTCTAGACCGGCATGAATTTCCGAAAATACTTTTAACGGAAAAGTTTTCCGTTAAAAGCATTTTCGGAAAAGCGCATCTAGATTGGCAGGATGCTTTTCCACAAAAGCACTTTTGGCGGAAAAGCATCCGTGGCCAATCTAGACGCGGTTTTCCGCAAAAAAGCCCCGATCGCCATTTTCGCCATCGGGGCTTTTTTGCGGAAAACAGTACTATGCTGTCTACACTGGCCCTTTTGAGCAAAAGTCTTTCGGAAAAAGACTTTTGCCCGAACAGGAGCAGCATAGTTTTTCCAGAAAAGCACTGATGATTTTACATGAGATCATCAGTGCTTTTCCGGAAATTCAAGTGGCCAGTGTGGACAGCTGGCAAGTTTTTCCGGAAAAGTGGCTGATTTTCCAGAAAAACTTGCCAGTCTAGACACAGCCCCCTTGTTTTGCTTCTTCCTGGTGCCTGGAGAAGGCCCATTGGGAGGCAGTTTTGTCGGGTGTTTACCATGGAAAGATGGAAAGCTCAAAAGATGAAATCTGCACTTCCCTGGTTTTGCTGGTTTTCCCTATGATTCCGAAATGTGTGTTGGGAGCATTCATAGCAGCAGTGTTAAACCCCTAGGAATCTGTCAGTTGTCCAGCAGGTATTTGAGTGCGTGCTCTAGGAACCTGGGACCCGCAAAGCTGTGGTTCAACAGCGGATGGAAGGAGCGCAGGGCAGGGATATGGAATAGGTGCTTCCCTGCTAAACGATTTGCTATATGGATGTGCTGCACCATTACCAAGGCAAACGGAGCAACCAACATGTGCAGACAACTGAAGTGCTCCCAGCTGTGTGCTTGGCCAGGATGGCTGGAGCTCTGTTGTAAGAATGTGGCAGCACTGAGGCACCGCAGCAGGGACATGGGCAGCACTGAGGCAAGGGGTCATATAGTGATAATTTCAGACATCAGAACTCCTGCCCCTTTGGAACATGCCCTGGGACCAGGGAGGCAGAAATTCAGCAGCTTGGTTAGCTGAAATTAGCCACAGGGTGTCACTGTTGCTCCACATCTGAAAATGCAACTCTCCTGCAGCAACTTTGTCTTGGGCATCCTGCCCCTGGCCCTCTCCTGCTGCTGTGTAATTTAGGGGGGCAGCTGTTGCAGTTGCTAGACTTTATTCCCGTCCTTCTCTGACAGCAGCTGGTGAGACCAGCCACTGTAAGGTGGCAGCTGCAATTCTGGAAATACCCGAAAATTTGAGGTCTTAATGTCCATGCACTTGCCTCTTTCTATCCCAGTTCTGTAGTTGCCTGGCAAGTCCAACTCCAGAAGCTAGTTAACTTCAATGTGACAAAGCCTACCAGAGGGATCAGCAAAACATTGAGCCTCTGAAAGAGTCATTCAAGTGGCAATGAAGCCATTTAACAGGCATGTGAAACTGCGGGGAATATACTGTCAGGCTTTGTCTGTATCTACAAGTTCAAAGCAAACTGAAAGTGTGAGCACAGTAGGTGGGCTGGGAGAGAGCTCCCCAGGTGCTCCATGTTTCTGAGCACAGACTCCCAGCACTGTAGCCTGGCTCACACTGGCATTTTACAGCACTGTAACTTGCTGCACCGGGGGAGGGTTTTTTAACACCCAAGCCAGAAAACTACAGCACAAGGGCAGGGATATGGAATAGGAGTTTCCCAGCCCTTGTGCCAGACCCCGGTCTTTCCCCCTCTTGGGCCCCCCACACAGACACCCACATGGTGTAGCCTTGGCCTCAGTTTCTGTTCTGGGTTAGGGGACAGAGTCTGAGTTTAAACATAATTGCTTTAAACATTTCATTGGGGCATAGCTGAAGAGCATAAAATCACAGCTCTATAGAACTGGAGGGAGCCTAAATCCTAGGCAGGGCCCTGCCAGGCAGCAAGCGCGAACAATCAGAGCGGGAGGGCGGATACAAGGCTCCGCAGGACCCGGCTGGGGCGACGGAAGCTGCCAGGGAGCCTTGCCCAGACCGCGCCTACACGTGGTGTTCCCAAGGAAGAAGCGGCCCCGCCCCCACAGCCCCGGGGGGCCGGGGCTGG